AAACTAAACTAATGGGTGTCGCTGCACCGCAACTGATTTATTGGTGGCGGTACTGATCTCTTCCTTTTCCGCACTGGCTCGGGCCTCCACAGGTTGTACGAGGCACGCTGAAATCTAATGCGCCAATTGCCATTCTCCGAACCGGTTTTTTCGGTCGCGGTAACCCAATCGGTGGAGTTGGTCACGCGATTCGTGCTTCCCGCGTCCGATTTGGGCTTACTCGCGATCTCTCGAAGACGTCCTCGTCGTTACATCCCCCCTTTGAAGAGCCAACGCACCGGCGCTCCGAGCGGGGGTGTTGGTGTTGGGGAAAGTCGAGAAATAGATGTTATCCTACAACTAGACTGGGTGCACCTGAGAGGTGGATAGCCATGTTAGAAGCTATGCCGTCGCTAGAGAACGTCTCTGGGGACTTTGTGTCGAAAGAGCAGCGAAAGAGTTGTATTACAGAAAGAAAAACGGGGTCCTAAATATAGTACAGATCACATGATGACAACCTGACTTCGACCTCTAATTTTGGGCGCATAAAGCAACTAACTAACGAAGTGTTTCGACAAGCTTGTAGCGCGGATTCAGGGCTTTCTAGAACCGTCTTGGTCTTGTCGATAAGTTAATAACTCGCTAAGTTATTCAAGTTACCGTCCCATGGCAACTTCGATGAAATCAATCAATTAATTCCAACACTTCCCCTCGCCCAAAATTCCATTCTATTCTTAGGCTCTTTTGTTTGTTGCGTCATCCAGTGATTGAACGCCAAGTTCTACACAACACTGGGCAAACCTCGGTGCAGGAATTGCCTTGGTAAGAACATCTGCAGTCATCTGTTGAGTGGGGCATCTTCTAACTGAAATCTCGCCACTCTGGATGTGTTCCCTGAGGAAATGATAGCGTATATCAATATGCTTCGTCCGTTGTGAAATCAGGGTGTTCTTTGCCAGTTCCATCGCGCCGTTGTTATCCATTTTGAGCACAGTAGGGCCTTGTTTGACTTCCAAAAACCCGAGCTCTGCTAAGAGGTTTCTCATCCAAATAACCTCTCGTGCACAATCTGATGCCGCAATATACTCTGCCTCAACTGTGGAGAGTGCTGTGCATCTCTGCTTTGAAGATTTCCAAGCAATAGCGCCGCCTGATAGCTTGAGAAGCCATCCTGAGGTTGACTTCCTATCTGAGAGGTCTCCACCCCAATCTGCATCGGAATAGGCTTCCAGATCGTCGCTGTTTTGCTGATAAACAAGCCCGTAGCTTGCTGTCTTTTGCAGGTACCGAAATATCCTCTTTATGCCCGTCCAGTGCATGTTTCCAGGCGCCTCACAGTGCCTAGCAAGTATCCCAACTGCTGTACTGATGTCAGGCCTAGAGGCAATCGCAGCAAACATCAAGCTGCCTATTGCACTGCGGTACTTCGATTTATCTACCATGGGTTGCCTTGACCCAAGAGCCTCAAATCGAACAGAGGTATCCAGTGGGGTCGACACTGGGTTCGAGTTTTCCATCTTGAATCTTCTGAGCACTTCACCAATGTAATGTGCTTGATCCAGGGAAAGAATGCTGCGCGGTTCATCTCTGATTACCCTTAAACCCAAGATGTGGTGGATAGGGCCAAGATCCTGCATCTTAAATCGCGCTGACAATGTCGTTTTGACCCAATTCATGTCTTCTTTTGACTTGGTTGCAATAACCAGATCATCGACATAAACCGCCAGTATGATGAGCCATTTGTTTATGTTTGCGCACTCATCTTTCTCATGTGGTTTGGCTTCCTGAACCTCTTCCCCTTGCCAAATGTAAACACAAGGCTCGTGCGCCAGCTGTTTAAAGCTGTTTTCGAGGAGGTACGCATGCAGGGTATGGTTCCATAGCCTTCCAGCTTGCTTCAAACCGTAGAGACCCTTCTTCAACAAGCAAACAAACTTGTCTGGTGGGTGCTCTGTTGAAATTCCTAGGGGTTGCTCCACATACAGCTCTGAATCAACCTCGCCATTCAGAAATGCTGTTGCAACATCCATTTGATCCAATAAAAGCCCATGCTTTGCTGCCAGGGCAAAGATCAGTCACAGAGCAGGGAAGGAGATGACGGGTGAAAAGGTCTCATCATAGTCCAATCCATGGATTTGACTGTACCCTTTGGCTACAAATCTCGCTTTGTGCCTTTCTACAGTGCCGTCAGTCTTCCGCTTTGTTTTATAGACCCATTTGCTGCCAATTACAGGCCTTCCAGAGGGTCTGGGGATGATTTCCCACGTCCCATTTTCGACCAGTGATGCATATTCAGCCTCCATGGCTTGCATCCAGGCTTCTTTCTGGGGTGATCGCAGCGCGCCATTAAGTGTTTTTGGGTCTTCATGGCCGAAACCTTCTTGCTGCATCTCCAGATCTGTGGTGGTGGTGGTGGGGGGTCCTGAAGGCGTTCCTAGGTGTGCATGGAAGGCGTCAACATCGTTGTTTTCTCCTTCCAAATCACTGGGGAAATGCTGCTGTTCCCAGAGGTCAAGTGTGACAGTGTCCTTGACATGCTCCAATGGCTCCCAAGTACTCTCAGTTCTGGGGTAACCCTTCCATTTGACAAGGTAGTATGTCTCGTCGCCTTGTTTATCCTCAGCAAGGATCTCCTCCACAGGGAACTCCTGCTCTTCTTCTTCCAGAAGTGAACCCATCAGTTCAGAGCATGCGTCAGATTGCCCTTTAACTGCCTCATCAAATGCCACATCCCTAGACTCCAACATAGTGTCATTCTGGGGATTCCACAGTCAATAACATCATGAATTTTGCCCATAACCAACCAGAATCAACTTTGCTGATGTGGGATCCAGTTTCCCTCGTAGTGGCTTCAGTATTTGCATGTAGGCAATGCATCCAATTGCTCTCAGATGGTCTACATTAGGGTGTGCCCCTGTCAAGGCCTCAGAGGGGGTAATCTTCCTCTCCAGCAGCACCTTGGTCGGGCTCAAATTCCTCAAATAATTGGCAGATTCCCAGACTTCTGCCCACAGCTTCTGGGGGAGGTTATTCTCGTGCAGAATAGACCGAACCTTATCCTCCAGAGTCCTGTTCAATCTCTCAGCAGCTCCATTCTGCTGGGGAGTATAGTGCATCATAGTTTGGTGGGTGATGCCCTCAGATTTGAGGTAGGCATCAAACTGGTGGTTCACAAACTCACCGCCGCCATCAGTTCTGAATGCCTTGATCGTCCTTTCAGTCAGATTCTCGATCCAGGCCTTAAATTCCTTGAACTTTTCTAGGCACAACGTCGCTGATTTCGAGTCGAGATAGAAGCATTTGCTATATCTGCTTCCAAGATCCAAGAATGTGAGCACATATCTGGCTCCACCAAGCGATTTGGTGCGTATTGGTCCACATATGTCGCTACATATGACCTCCAAAAGCTGGTAACTCTTCTTGGGTGATTCAGGAAAGGGCAATCGTGTTTGTTTACCCTTCTGACATCCATCACAAAGCTGGTCTTCAACCACTGCTTTGCCATCAAAATTAAGACCATCAACCATACTGGTGAGCGTCTTCAAATTGCCATAACTTAAATGGCCTAACCGCCGATGCCACAGCTTCAGTTTCCCGCCATCCTGCTTCTCAGGGCAACCCAAAGCTTGGTCTTCATGCTGTACTTCAGCTCCCATCACTTGGGAGTCACAGCTCGCGCTGCCAGGGTAAGCAGCAAGCTTGTAAAGCTCCCCTTCCCTGTTTCCTGCAGCAAACAATCGCTTATCTAGATGGAATTCCACTCCTCCAGACTGCGAAAAGGTGACGTCCATGCCATTGTCAATAATGGCTCTGATAGACAGAAGATTGCAGCCCAACTCTGGGGCATACAGGACGTCCTGCAACACCACCTGCCGTTGATGTTGCTGTCCTGGAGTCTCCAACTCCAGGGGGATAGTACCAATGCCTTCTGCATTGATAACTTCGTCATTTGCAAGCACAATTTGTCGTGAAATGGGCCTCAGATTGACAAAGAGTTCTTTGTGGGGACTCATATGCTGGCTACAGCCCGAATCAACTATAAATTGGACCTTCTTGCTGTAAGATTGCTGTGGTAGCTTCCTGCTAATCAAAGCAATGGCTTTCGCATCGTCCTGATGACCATCCATTTGTTTATCCACAGCCAGCTTGGCTGTACTGTCTCCCTTGGCTGTTCCAGTGGTTTGCGACCCGCTCTTCTCCTTCATGGCGCATTGGTATGCAAGATGGCCTGGGTTCCCACAGGTAAAACAGGTCTTCTGCATCGTCTGCTTCTTGCCATTGGTGCCGTTGGTCGCCTTTCCATAGCTCTGGGAGTTGTGGGACTGTTTCTGGTCGTCATATTGGTTCGTCTTAGCCGCATTGACATGAGCTTTCTTCCCTTGCTTTGACTGGTTGAATACCCGTGGGTTGTTGATGTATTCCAGTCTCAAAACAGCCAATTTGAGCGTCTCCATGCTGTCCAAGTTCGATGGATTTGCCTCAATGCTGGCTCTCAAATCCTTGCGCAATCCTCGCAGGAATAATACCTTCATCACCTCGTCATGCAGCACCGTTGTTTGCATGGATAGATTGGTGAACTGGTCAATAAACTCGACAATGGTGAGGTTCTCTGTGTCCTGAGAGATGTCGAAAAGTCTCTCCAGAGTTTTCCTCTGGTAATCTGGGGGTGTGAAGCGCTCAAGCAGAGCCTTCCGCAGCTGACTCCAAGTCCTGATTCGCCTTGGATCATCCTCCTCAACCTCTGTGAGGTGGTTCCCCCAAAAAACCTCTGCAGAATCCTTCAGCTTTGACGTGGCAACCTTCAGTTCCAGTCTGGGGGGCAGTTCTGCTATGCTGAAGTACTCTTCAAGTTTGCGCACAAACTCTAGCAGCTTATTAGTGTTGCTACCACCATGGTAGCGAGGGACTTCTTCCCTCAAAGTCTTTAGCACCTGCTTCTCTTCCTCATGAGAGAATGTGCTCCGAGAGCCTTCTGACTTGATATCTGCATCCCTATGCCTCAAGTTCTGCTCTGGTTTGAATGGCACCTCCTGCACCATCGTAGGAAGTGTTTCCGCGGCTCTAGCTGGCTGGGTTTGGGTCCTCTGTCTCAAAACTTCCTGAATATTGTTCAGAAGCTCTCTTCTGAACATCCTCATCTCGTCCTTGAACTCCAAAAAGGACTCCTGAGTGAGGTACTGGGGCTCGTCTTGAGCTTCCAGGTAACTACTGATGTCGTCGTCCTGAGCTTGCTGAGCTTCCCTTCTGGCGTGCTCTTCAATCTCCTCAAACTGACCAGAAAGAGACATCTTTCTCTTTCCCTTTTGCGCTGGTGTTCTGTCCAGGGGCATCCTTTGCTTCCTTTTTCAATACACCGCTCAGTAGTTCGTATTCGCGTTGTTCTCAGCTGTCTGACAGGCAACCAGGGCTCATAACCTGTTGGGGAAAGTCGAGAAATAGGTGTTATCCTACAACTAGACTGGGTGCACCTGAGAGGTGGATAGCCATGTTAGAAGCTATGCCGTCGCTAGAGAACGTCTCTGGGGACTTTGTGTCGAAAGAGCAGCGAAAGAGTTGTATTACAGAAAGAAAAACGGGGTCCTAAATATAGTACAGATCACATGATGACAACCTGACTTCGACCTCTAATTTTGGGCGCATAAAGCAACTAACTAACGAAGTGTTTCGACAAGCTTGTAGCGCGGATTCAGGGCTTTCTAGAACCGTCTTGGTCTTGTCGATAAGTTAATAACTCGCTAAGTTATTCAAGTTACCGTCCCATGGCAACTTCGATGAAATCAATCAATTAATTCCAACAGGTACAGCCTGACAGTTGGCTATATTCATCTGGGGGAACATCTTTCGAGAATGTAACATCATCTCAGATGAAAGGCATCCTTGATATCGCTACGAATGCTAGTGTAAATACACTTATTTCTGGTAAACAGAACAACATCACTACATCAACTAATTTGAGTGTTGCTTCAGTTACTTCTAATGGTTATCTAACGGTTCTCAATGCCGCCAATCCAACGTATATGTCCCTGGTGAACACAGCATCAAATGTGACATGGGGACTTCGAGTCGCAGGTTCTTCAGCAGATGGGGTTTTGTCTGCCGGTGGGTTCAGTTTGAACTGTAGTGCTAATAACATTGGCTATGTTTTCAAGATTACTAATACTGGTATTACTCAGGTGACATGTACCACGGATTCCTCATCTGCAACAACAGGTTCTCTACAAGTTGCAGGAGGTGTTGGAATATCGAAGAATCTCTACTGTGGAGGAAGTCTGTACTCCAATAATCTGAAAGTTGCGACTGAAAGTTATGTAGGAACAGCCATTGCTTCAAAACAGGCATCAAGTCCGCTCCTAGATTCTATAAGCGGCCTTGTACCAGCAGCGAATTCATTTATCATAGGAAGTTCTGCAACTTCCTTCACAGTTAAAAGTCCAGCAGAAGTGAGAGCGATTTTAGGTGTTACTGACGTAGACATTTCAGGGAAACAAAATGCTTCACCATTACTCGATTCTATCTCTTCATTGACACCAACGAGTGGAATGTTTGTTATGTCTGATGCCACAGGGTTTGTTCTTCAGTCCACGAGTACGGTGAAGAGCATTTTAAACATTCCTGATTACGCATCAGACATCTCTACACTGCAAGCAAATGTCTCTACATTGCAAGGGAACGTCTCTACATTGCAATTGACTATTTCAACAAAACAAGATGCTCTCACAACTTCTAGTCCATTGTCGGTGGCTACCATCACTTCCAATGATACCACTGATTCAACATCAGCCAGCACTGGAGCACTTCAAGTGAAGGGTGGAGCAGGAATCGCTAAGAAACTATGGGTTTCTGGTGCACAAATGACCATTCAGAATACTAACTATAGCGTTGGCCAAACCAATACCCTCATGTTCTCACATGCAACTCAGAATATATGTTATATACAATCCTATCTCCCAGGTAGCAACAATGTAGACCTAAACTTTTTTGTCGGGTCAAGTAATTCATCCATTCGAAGTATGGTGCTTAATGGAGCAACCGGAATCGCCTATTTTGACAGAGGCATAGTGGTGTCAAGTACCACCGATTCCACATCTATAATGACAGGTGCACTTCAGGTTGCAGGAGGAATTGGAGTCTCCAAAAACATCTTCGCTGGAGGAGACTTGACCATTGGAAACAATAATGTAAGTGGATTACATTCTCTTGTGGTGAGGAACACAGACACAGGAACGAATGCTTGTTCGATTTTGTATCTAACTGCATCTGGTGGTTCTTCCGTTCTTTTTATGAATGGAAGTAATCGTTCAGTGGATGGAGGGCAAAATTGTTTAACTCTTCGTAACGATGTGGGAGCCTTACGCCTTCAATCTCAGGGAGCAAAAGGCATTTACGTTTATCCTAATACAGGTAATGTTGTAGTTGAAAGCACCACTCCAGCCTTATTGAGTACAACTGGCGCTTTGGTTGTGAATGGTGGTGTAGCGGTTGGGGCTCATGTGGTTGCTGGAGGAAATTTGTATAGCAATGGGCCCGTGTACTTGAATGGTCAGGTTTGCACTACTCAAGCATGGGTGTCAACTCAAGTGTTTCCAAAGATTCAAGTTTTCAAACTGTTGACTAAAGATGTTATCACCACTGGTAGTGGTACAAAGACGTTCTATGTTACTACAGCAGGCCGGGCGTTGATACGCTATACAATCAACTTGCATGGCACCAATAATGCAAATGGGACTTTAAATATACATCTCGGAACCAATGTTGGTTCCATGGCGTCAGTCTTTTCCAGTGATTTTAACTATAATGCTGGAGTGAACCGAACAGTTTATGCCTCATTTATTGTTTCTGGCTTGGTTCCCGATACGGCCTACTTTACAAATTTTGGTGCAGTAAATGCTGCTCCGGACATAAGTACAGACATCACAACGATAGAGATTACGGAATTGGGCCCTTAAAAGGGCTCACAGCGCTTGACTGAGTTTTTGCATAATTAAAAAAAAGAGAGCTAGCAAAGATAGAATGCGACGCATGGATATTGAAGGTCATTCGGTATTCAATATCAAGGATGCCGTGAAGGGCGACATGAATACCTTTTGGAGATACTGCGAAAGCATGTTAACTGGTGACAAGAAAAGAGTCATACTGTATCTTAAAAAAACAGAACAGAATGAACACATATTTAAAGAAATTATGTCGATTGTCCATCTCTCAAAACTGGATGAAATCTGTTTCCGACAATCTGGGTACTTAGCAATTTTGGATGATTGTGTTCTTTTGGGACATAATTATAATGTAAAGGTATTTGTTTTGGAAATGCGGATTGATGGCTACTTTTAAGAAACAGATATGGCAGCATTGGTTCAGACCAAAAATGAATGCTGCGAGCTAGGCGAATGAACTCCGAAGCGAATTTGCACTGGACTTCATCCGTGCAAGGGGCGCTGTCAAAAATGGATTTAAAGGGAAGCATGTATGCATGTATGCAATGTGGAGATGTATGCAACCAATGGATACATCGGCAACATATTTAAAGATGTGCAACTTCTAAGAAAATTTGCTCATTTTGAACTTTTGAATCCCCGGAATTTTTGATACCAAAGCTCCACTCCATCCATCCTCCAAAAATTCACTTTGCAAAAAAATCCAAAAAATTGTTACCATAGATGGAGCTGATGCAAAACCCTTCCTGTTCCATTCTGTCGCCCTCTGCAGCACTCGAGGAACTATCAATAGTTCCCTTTCTCTTGTATTAACAACAAAGTCTTTATACAGCCCTCTTCCAGGGCCCAATGATGTGCAAAAAATTGTCAACTAGAGCAATCTGGTCAATTGGCATTACATGAGGAGGCAACCAATTTGTTTACAAAAACAGACAAAGGCTACAATATATTATTAAAATAACTATTTTTCTGCTGTATACACAATTTTGTACATGATCATCCTGCTCCATATTCATTAGCTAGCGAGGATATTCCTTTAGGGAATGAGGAATGATACAGTAGGGAGAATACAAACAGAATGGGCTGGTCTCTAGTATAGATGTATATCTATTGTATATAAGAACTACTAGAGAATATACCAGTAAGTAGGCAAAATATATTACAAATATATATATGATGCCATGAGATGCACCCACATGGTACAGCAGTGAAGCAGCTTAGAGGTCTACAATCTATAACTGCTAACAATAATTAATACTATATCAGTCTTCATTACTCTACCATATACTGAAACAGTATCCAAAGCTGTAATCTGGACCTTGACTAGGTGCATCTTATGCTCTATGGGATATTGAAACTTAGCGCTTGGAACACTGATTTCCCGTGTAGAAATCACTTCTGGAAGACCTAGTAATGCCTGTGGCCGCTAGTAAGACTTCTGGGTGCAGTAACTTGTGGGATAACACGGTTGTTTTATTCCAGAGACGTTCAAAAGTCCCCTTTATATAACCCAGTACATTCTCCAGCCTCCCTCCGCCTTTGTTTACTGTTTACATGCTTCAGCCCACTTGTTTACATGCTCAGCAGTGCTCAGCAGTGCTCAGCAGCTTCAGCCATGCCTTGGCAAACATTACCTGAAGATCTAGATCATCACAAACCTTCCAGACCTTCTAAGACTGCTTACATGATGATTTACCCCTTTAAATCATTCACACACGCGTCTGTGATCATTCTGATCACTCTAAGTCCAATTCCCCACGTTGTAACTTAGCCAAATCAGATGTGAACTGTCTAATGACATCCCAGCATGATCTCACATGATTTATAGATCATACAGCGTGGTTTAAGCCTGAATCTCAACACTCCCACTCAGTGAATCATCTGATTTCCAACAGAGACCCATTTTACCACAAAGTTTAAGGTGCTTTGTCTTGGGTAGAGCCTTGGTGAGAATGTCAGCTGTCATTTCTTCTGTCTGACAGTACTTGAGGCTGATTTTCTTGTCTTCTACTGCTTGTCTGATGAAGTGGTGCCGCACATCAATATGTTTGGTCCTTGCATGATGTGTTGGGTTGTTGGCAAGTGCTATGGCGCCCTGATTGTCACCATACAATGTTGTAGGACCACTTTGCTGATGTCCTAGCTCGCCTAGGAGTGTTCTGAACCAGATAACTTCCTTGGTAGCTTGACAAAGAGCCATGTACTCTGACTCTGTTGATGATAGAGCGACTGTAGGTTGCCTCTTGCTTTGCCAGCTGACTGTGCTGTTGCCAATCTTGACTAAGAAGCCAGTGGTAGACTTCCTGAAGTCCAAATCACCGCCCCAATCTGCATCAGAGTATGCAGATAGCTCCCACTTGCTCTGAATGCCGCCCAGTTGAAGTCCTAGGTCTGTGGTGCCCTTCAGGTACCACATGATCCGTTTGACTGCTATCCAGTGCTGATGTCCGGGGTTGGAAAGGTACTGGCTAACTGATCCAACTGCCACTGCTATGTCTGGTCTGGTGCCCAGCATTGCATAAATGAGACTTCCAACAGCACTTCTGAAAGGAACCCCGTTCATTTCTTGCTGTTCTGCCTCAGTTTGTGGTGACATGGCCTTGGTGAGCTTGTGGCCATTCTCTAGTGGTGTGGCAACTGGTTTGCTGTTACTCATATTGAATTTCTTCAATGTTTGACTGAGGTACCGCTGTTGGGAGAGCCAGATTGACCTGTTGACTCTGTCCCTGACCACTTGGATGCCGAGAAAATGCTCTAACTGGCCCATATCAGCCATCTTGAACCGCTTCTTGAGTTCTTCTTTGAGTTTTAACAACTCCTGGTCGTCCTTTGATGCCAGAATAAGGTCATCCACATACAGGATAAGGTGGATGCCCATCTTCTTGTTGATGTACAGCCCGTGGTCTGATTCACACCTTTCAAAGCCAAGTTCTTTGAGTTGCCCGTCAATGACTTTGTTCCAGGCTCTTGGAGCTTGCTTTAACCCATACAAACTCTTCTTTAGCTTGCAGACAAGCCCATTTGCCGTGGCAAAGCCTTCTGGTTGGTCCATGTAGATGTCCTCCTCAATGGTCCCATTCAAGAATGCTGTTTTGACATCCATTTGGTGAATCTCCATGTCCTTCATGGCTGCTAGTGTCAGAACTGTCCTGATGGTTGCAAACTTGACTACTGGGGCAAATGTCTCCTTGTAGTCCAGTCCTTCAACTTGGGAGTATCCTTTGGCTACCAGTCTGGCCTTGTAGCGCTCTACAGAGCCATCTGACTTGAGTTTCAGCTTGAAAACCCACTTGCAGCCAACTGTGGATCTTCCTGGTGGTAGTTTGACTAAGTCCCATGTCTGATTCTCCATCAGAGAGTCATATTCTGCTTTGACAGCCGCCTCCCACTGTTTGGCATCATGTCTGGTCCTAGCTTCAGCCAGAGTGCTGGGTTCTTCCTGTGGAACTTCCCCAATGGTGAAGGCAAAAGCCAGGTTTGACTGAGTTGGCTTTGCAATCCACCACTCTCCCGGTGGTTTGTGAAATCTGGCACTCTTCCTGCTGAGTTCTGGCACTTCCTCAGCATCCTGGAAGTCGTCCCCATCATCTTCTGATGCTGAAGAGTTGTCTGAAGTGATGCTAGATGGTCTCTGAGTCTCTTGAACCATCCCTAGCCCTTCTTGGTCGTCCAAGAACGAAGGCTCCCCTCCCAGAGGCATCTGTAGCTCTTGGTCTTGCTGTGGTACACTCTGCAGTTGCTGCTGAGTGCTCCACATCAAGTTTTCATCAAAGATGACGTCCCTTGACATGACAACTTGGTTCATTTCAGGTACCCACAGTCTGTAGGCCTTACTCTGAGTGCTGTAGCCGACCATGACTGCCTTCTTGGCCTTCTCATCAAGTTTTGACCGCTTTTCTTTTGAAATATGAGTGTAGGCCACGCAGCCAAACACTCTGAGATGCTGGAGAGCTGGTTTACCGCCTGTAAACTCTTGAAATGGTGTTGATTGGTTGCTGAGTGCTGCAGTGGGGCTCCTGTTCCTGAGATAGACCGCTGTCATTATTGCCTCGCCCCAGAACTTGTAGCTGAGTCCACTGTGGTGCAGCATGCACCTTCCCATTTCCACCAGCGTCCTGTTCATCCTCTCAGCAACACCATTCTGCTCTGGTGTGTAGGGGGTGCTGAATTGCTGCTGAATTCCCTTCTGTTTGCAGAATTTCTTGAATTCTTCGCCCACATACTCTCCCCCATTGTCTGATCTGAGAGTTTTGATCTTCTGCCCCGTGAAGTTGGTTGCCCAGGCCTCAAACTCCTTGAATTTGCTGAGAACCTCACTCTTCTCCTTCAGAAGATAGACTGCCGTCATCCTTGACTTGTCATCAATGAATGTGACAAAGTACTTTGCCCCACCATGACTTGGTGTCTTCATGGGCCCACACACATCACTGTGAACCACCCCCAGCAGTAGAGCCGCTCTAGCTGCTTCTCCCTTTGGAAAGGGACGCCTGGTGATCTTTCCAATGGCACAGGCTTCACATGGTGATATTTCTGTGTGATTCTTGACCTCCAGACCGCTTCCCAGCTGGTTCCTAGCCAAGATTTTGATGCTGTTGACGTTCAGGTGTCCTAACCTGCGATGCCAGAGGTCCAAACTCATTCCAGAGGCTATGTTTGCATGTTCTCTTGCATGAAACATGTATAGACCGCCGCCTAGAGTTCCCTGGATTGCTTCCTGACCGTCTGAAGTCTTGATACAGCATCCCTTGCTGCCAAACTCAACTTTGGCACCGTTTTCAGTGGCTCTTCTTACTGAAAACAAGTTCTTTTCAAGCTTGGGAACAAACCACACGTCTCTGAGGGTACAGAATCGGTTTCTGCCTGTCTCAAGTGTGATCTGGCCCTTCCCTATTGCCTGAACTGTTCTGTTGTCCGCCAGATGGACTTGAATTGGTGACATCTCCATGTAATTGGTCATCCAATCCTTCCTGTGTGACATGTGCTGTGAAGCACCCGAGTCCACAATCCACCAGACT